CTGTCTGTTTTATGATAGGAATTATAATTTTAGGCATCAAGTAAATTTTAGAACAATGTCTACACATTCACCTAACACATATTTAAAAAATGAAGATATATTGAAAGACTTTTAAAGAATTGATTTTTTAAAATATATTTTGATCAACATCACAAAATTCATATAACTGACCCAAACTGGCAGATGATGAAATAAGCAATTAAATGTTCTACTTTCCTATTTGTAAGCATTATGTGTCCAGTGGTAAGGAGCCTATTAGGATAGCATAAAAAAGAATGTACAAATGTTAATAATTGATTTATCAATTTTTTTTTTTAATTCCTTCTCCTTCGGGACTTTTTATTCTCATGTTCATAACTAAACCTAAACATAAAAAAATGCTGGCCTTATAATGAAGAAAGGGGCCTCTTTCAAAATAGATAATTTCAGGGCCGCTGGGTCAGGGGTACCAGGGGGGTACTTTGACTAAAAATAAATTAATGCTTTAAAATCTGCCCTTTGATAAGCAATGGTGCCTCTTTCAAAATTTGTGAATTTCATGGCTTTTGGATTAAAACACGAATACAATTTTGTTACATATATTTTTAAGGCCTGTGGGCCTCTTGTTTTTTTCAAATGAAGGGTTGTGTCCTCTTTCAAGGGAAGATGTTCAGAATAAGTGAAATTTTAGGGACATCTCTTAACAATCTTTTCAAGAACGGTTGTGTCAGAAAAGTTGAAACATATGTGAAAGCTTCATTATAAAATGTAGAGATTCAGTTTTATTCAGATCAGAGGTTTGGTATAGGTGCAAATTGTCACAATCATGCTGCATTATAAAGCAATATGAGACACGTCAGTCTTATTTACACACAAATTACCAAAAAGCAATAACAAATCTTAAAGCAAAAATATCTATGGGCAACAATACATGTATGTGCAGTGTTACTTTTCAAGCGTTGACAGTATGTCCTGATAGACGACACTATGCGCAGTAAGGGTAAGTACACATTGTCGTCGGCGACAATATGTTCATTAGGACAGTATGTACCATCACATGTATATCCGCTCAGCAGGGGATGCTTAGTCCTCCTAGGCAACGTATCCCTCCTCTGGAATTTCCCGGGGACTGTTTTTTATGTCTTCATCATATATATATCTTTGAATTCTTTTAGATTTTATTTTTGGATCGATCACGGTGCGTCTTCGTTTGTAAGGCTCATTATATAAATTGTATTTCAGAAGAACTTGGATTTCATTTTACAATTGGTAATCCAACTTATACTCATAGCTCACTTTCTAAGGAAGAAATTCTTCAAAATCATATGTGAGTTTTGAATACAGGTTGTATTTTTAATGTCCCAAACATCCAAAATGAATTACCATATCTAAATTGGATTCCGAAACTTTATAAAAATCCTTACAAACAAAGATACATTGCGGGTAAATATTCAATTAAGCCTCTTTCTTTTCTTCTTATTAGGATATTAACAGCATCGATGGAGAAACTTTAAGAGTACTGTGCGACAATATATTCGAGAAGTGGTGTAAATTGGATGTGGATATTTAAAAATTCCAAGGAACTTTTGGAAAATTTGAAATCACAAGATTTTACCAAATTCTACAGCTTAAAACGACTTTTTAACTTTATACACAACCATTCCCCACGATAAATCAAAGTCCAGGCTTTTTGATATCATTGACAGCTGCTTTTTCAATAAAAATGGAGCATGTAAATTTACGTACCTTGTCATTTGCAAAGTTATTTTGTTAAAAAAACATTCTAATTGTACACACAAGTACTCTGAAGTTAACATAAAATGCTTGAGTTTCTGATTGACAATATCTTTGTGGTTTTGGAGACCAGGTCTTCCAACAATCAACTGGAATTTTATGTGAAACAATTGCATCCCATTCTAAGCAGACCCATTTTTGTATTCATATGAAGCAGACTTTGTCCAAAATCATACACGTGAAAACTAGAAAACACTTGCTGGAATCTTCAAGTCAACATTTAGATATATCGACGATGTATTGTCAATTAACAATAATAATTTCCATTCTTATGGCGATACGATATACCCCGGTGTGCATGAGATAAAAGATACCACAGAGTCTGACACATTTGTTTCATATTTGGATATTTCAAAGACGTTAATTGTAATCTATCAACCAAGCTGTATGATAAACGAGATGACTTTAACTTTTTAATATTCATCTTCCATTACTTAGGAGCAATATACCTTCATCACCTGCATACGGAGTTTATATCTCTCAGTTGATTCGATACGCAAGAGCATGCAATACGTATGTACATTTCTAAAACGAGGTAAATTATTGACAAACAAGTTGATGAAACAAGAATATCAGCAGTCTTGTTTAAAGTCATCATTTATAAGTTCTATGATCGATACAATGTCAGCAAATACAATTTATCTTCGAGTCAAATGCTTACTGACGTTTTTCATACTGATTGATGGTCCATTGTTTACACACTGAATCGACGACGGATTTTTCCAATCCTGAAAAGGAGCACACGGCGGATGTGACCGGTCGGCAGGGGATACTCACTTCTCAATGGCACCTGATCATACCTGATGTATTGGAGGTCCGTGTTTGCTCTGCACCTATTTTGTATTGTTTTATTGACTTTCGAGTTTGAATAATTTTCGTTATCTCCAAATATTTCACTTCACCTTGAAGATTTCTCGTATAAAATATAGTAAATCTATTATATTTCTTAATTAAAAGTTTTCATGACCACATTCATTTTTTTGTTTCTTTCTCTCAGGATAATAGGGTGTACGATTTGTAGTTAATATTTAAAAATAATTTTTTGGATATAACTATTTATAAGGCTTATTTTATTACTCTGTATTCTATATGACCTTGGCTCTTTCTCACATTGTCTGGAATTTATATCAATTACACATATATCTGGATGGAACTCATAATTTATAGAATAATCAGCTGTGTTTCAATTTAACTTATCTCAATATAAGTAAAATACAACGTCAATAAATTACCTGTAATTTAAATGTACGTTGCTATAAATGCCTCTAAAAGTCTAGTCCTTGATTGCAAATTACGATATATCCACCATTACTGTCTCCAGAGCATGATTACTGCTACTAATTGCAATGTCAGTAGAGTTCCAGTGGAACCATTGTGTTTAATTACTTGGTTATTACTGCTATAAGTCATTGAAAGTAAAAAAATACAAGTTAGAAGTCTGTAATGAACAAATAGCATTATATATATTGGAGGATAACCGTAAAGTATCATATGTGTATTGATAAGACCTTTGATTTATGAAAAATATTTAAAATACATATGTTTAATTTGATGGTCAATTATGAAAAATATTTAAAATCCATGTGTAATTTAACGGTGCAATTATCATTTAATCGAGTTTCAAATATGAAAAATGTAAAGAAATTGCATTCAAATTTATTATCCATAACTGGAAAAAAATTAAAAATTTGTTAGACTTCTGTTACATTAATTATAGGGAATAAGATAACCGTACATAATTATGCAGTGAGATGCGCAATATTTGGGAAATAAAGTTGAGATTTAATAAGTTTTATGATAAAAATTAAAAATAAAATTGTATACTTATATTTTCCATGATAAGATGTAATTACCAAAAAATAAATAAAATTTTCAATAAGGGGACGACCATTTGATTATGAGGGGGGGGGGGGTCTGGCAGATTTTGGAAATAAATAATTTGTCCCTGAAAATTTTGAAAATAAATAATCTGTCCTCCACTACAAACAAAATAAATAATCTGACCTTGACTTATGATATTTAATTTGAAACATACTTTTTTATTTACGTGTAATTAAATCTCAAAAATCTTCAATTCAAAAATTTTTTTGGCTCGCTTCGCTCGCCATTTTAGAACCAAATAGTATATTTAAAATCAGATCACCAGACTGGATACTTGTAGTCAGTTTATCAACATGACAATGTGCACTTAGTATAGGTGTGATGAATCACTTTTAAATACAAGTCAATTCTTATACACCGCAAAAGAAAAAAATTCTTGTCGAAGAATTACACTTCCCCGATAAGTTAACATAAAATATACACTGGCGGATTTAAGGGGGACGTACATGTGTACGACCCCTCCCCTAAAATTTCAAAGTATGATACGAATAATAATGCCATACTTTGGGACAATACCAATATTTTTGTGCCTAGTTTCACTCTTAAAATACACAAAAACCCAAGAGCTTTTGGGGGCTTCGCCCCCTGGGCCCTTTTCATTCAAATTATGATATGACTAGTATTAACAATGTCATATTTTGGTACATAACTAACCAACTCCTACACAATTGTGTCTTGTTGTACTCTTTTATATACAGAAAAACCCAAGAGCTTCAGGGGGCTTCGTCCCCAGAACCCCCTTCATTCAAAGTATGATTTGACCAGTATTAATTATGTCATACTTTGGTTCATAATAACCAATACCACTATATAAGTGACCGGTTTTACTCTTAAAATACACGAAAACCCAAGAGCTTCAAGGGGGGGGTTACTCCCTTGGCCTCCACAAGGGCTTCGCCAAGGACCTACTGGGGGCCTTACGGCAGCCCCAGACCTCTTGCCTAAACGAAGTTAAACACGCCCCGTCCCCAAATTCTGTATATATTCGCCAATGGTTATATAAATGATTAGTATTTTAGAATCAATTGATCAAGGTACCGTAAGGCAAAGAAGAAAATAAATAATCTGTCCTTGATAATCTTGAAAATAAATAATCTGTCCTCGACAGGCATGAAAATAAATAATCCGTCTCAAAAAAATTTGCCAGCCCCCCCCCCCCTTCAGGATCAAATGGTCGTCCCCTAATGCACTAAAAAAAAGTAGGCAGAGCCTTAACTTCCTTATAACTCCCTTCCCTGTTTTCAGAACTTTCGAAAGTTATTCATTAAAGAATTAATCGCCACCATAGATGAAACGAAAAATATTTAACAGTTTCAGAACATTCAATATTCATTCCCTACAACGATATAGCTTCAGCCTTCCAGACTCTCCGTTTTAAGTTGAAGATTGTGTTCCTCTGTGTACATACGAAGATGCAAAAAAGATGTAAATATTTTGGTAAGTTTTAATAACACTTTTTGATATCAAAGCTGTACAGTTCGGGATATGTTTATTTAGGATGTAAATTCTTCATCCTTTTCATAAAATTTCCGACAATATCTTTTATGATTGATAATCAATGAATGATTTTAATCGTCCGCATCTTCAAAATGGAGAAAAAGTTTGTAAAATTAAAAGTCTTGTCTGAAAAACAACAATTAGTAGATTTTGTCATTTTTTTGTCTAAATTTTACCAGGGTTATTTTGGAGAAGGTTGATGCAGATTATTCGCAAGAATGCACACAAATTAGATAACTAGTGTAATTATGTTCCCCAAACGAAGTTGGGGAACATATTGTTTTTACTCTGTTTCTTATTATTATTATTATTATTATTATTATTATTATTATTTTTCTTCTTCCTGGGAAAATTTTGTCCACGAGTGATCTTGTAAACTACACATCCGACTTAGGTGAAACCTTTTTAGGGTTAGTAGGCATGTTAAAGTTGCCAAACAAAGGTCATTTTGCGCGCACGTGCTTGCAAGAGCGCGCACGTGCATTAGGTGAAATTACCTATATAATGGATATTCCCGTAACTTTTCTATTTTTTGATGAAATTTTTTGAAACTCATAATGTAAGGATACATTAGCAGTATAGACAAGATAGCATGGTCAAAATAGCAAGATTTCACGCGCATGCACGTGAGCTTTGCTCTGATTGGCTGAAACTAAAGTATCAATAACTTTCTTGTTTCTTGTCATAATCCTTTGAAATTTTGAACATAGTCCTACATTATAATGATCAACCGCATGATATATAAGAATTTTCATGAAAGCATGCGCATGTGCGTGTGCTGCAAGCTGATTGGCTGAAACTTTAAATGGCTATATCTCCTTTGTTTTTTGACGAAATTCTTTGAAATTTAAAATGTAGTCATGCATTGGAATATCCTGCAAAATGATATAGAAAAAAAAATCATGAAATCACGCGCATGCACGTGTGCTGCAATTTGATTGGCTGAAACTTTAAATTTCTATTTCTCCTTTGTTTTTTGACAAAATTCTTTGAAATATAGTCATGCATTAGGATATCCTACAAAATGATATAAAAAAATCATGAAATTACGCGCATGCACGTGTGCTGCAATCTGATTGGCTGAAACTTGAAATGGGTATAACTCCCTTGTTTTTCAACCAAACAGGATGGGATTTAGAACATAGATAGATGTAAGGGACTCCTACAAGAAGGTATGATCATCATGCACATGCACGCACGTGCGTGCATTTGAAACGAGTATATTTAAAAATACTCTTGAAAGACAAGATGATATGGTCATAACGCACATGCATTCACATGCGCTTGGGTGCAATGCTAAAAATTGAATATAATTGGTATCCTTCTGGAAAAACGTTGTTAAAGTCAAAAATGCACAGAGTTTGTCTTATTTAATGAAGCTTACAGGGAATATGGCACCCAAAGGGAGTTGGGGAGCGTTTGGGGAACATCTGTAACGGTTCCCGTTACAATTAGCACTAGTTCCTGGCATGTGATTAATTTTTATAAAATTTTCTTTTAATTTTCCTGCCCTTCCTTGTCATAAATTAAATTATTTCATGGACGATTACAATTACTAGTCATAAAATCTACATATAAATGCACTATTATAATTAAAAGAAGGTATTTCGTCGCTTGTTCCGTTTTATACGTTGAAATGGTTAGAAAATATGAAGAGGAAAATTTCCTTCTTGTATATTGCTATATTCACAAGTAGAAAATTCTTTTTATTAATCAATTATATCTATATTTTTTTAATTTACTCATAAGTCCTTGTACTTATACTAATATTTAAAACAATTATCTTTAATAGGTCATTAGTGTTCAAATATTCAGAGGATCGATGAATCATTGCGATAAAATTTTAGCATCGTGAAAAATTGACGAGTGAGTTGGGGTATTATATGGAGATTTTTAGAAGGATTAACTATAACAACGACTTTTGGGATCACTTTGAATAAGTCATTAAAAAAGTTTTAAAAATGTAGCCTCTTGGAATTTTTTTAAGATATGAAACTGTAAAATTAATTGTAACTTGGTAAATTATTTATGCTAAGATACATGTATTGCATCGTATTTATTATCAATATATGTAATAATACAGTGAAACCTGTCTAATCCGGGTTTTCTTTAATCAAAAATCTTTCTTTTATGATGTAAACTTAAAGTTTTGTTTAAAATAATTCCTTTGTTTGAAATGATTTCTTATCCAGAATGTTGTCTATTTCGGCTTATTTTATTTGGAACCATTGCTGTCCGGATCAGACTTGTTTTACTGTATATTATTATTCAAATGTATTGCTTTTGCTTTTGAAAATAATTGAACGTTAATTAAACGTTGTTGTCATGTCCATTCTTTAAACATTTATTTCTGGACATTAAAATTTAAAGAATACAATATTCAATATGTAGAATGTTGGTAATAGAGCTCGATTTGACTAGAAAAATAAGACTATGTACCAAAAAAAAAAAAATTAAAATCCACAGTAACTGTGTAAATATTACTTGAATTATATTCAACCTTAGTAAAGAGCATTAACCAATAAACAAAGCTGGAAATTTTGTTGTAATCAGTTGCATTTGTTGAAAAGAAAATTTATGTTTGTAAAGGCAATTTCAATTGTAAACAGAAAGATCAATTTCACAAATGTTCACTGACTTCATATAACTTCAAAATCAAACCAACGCCTTACGTATATAGATCCTACCATCAAACTAGACACCTTTGATTTTATCGGTTATATCTTTTTTTGATACTGATTGTCCGAAATCTAGGTGTAAACTAATGCTGACCCAAGATGACCCTTGATGTCCTGAAACGTCCCTAGTCCCTGTTTGGCCTCCATTTGATCTTTTATATTTCAGGTGAGTAGATGGTCAATGGAATCCTCATATTTCAGGACTTTTGCACTCCATAACATTTCTACCCTTGTCCTGCTGAGATAACAGAGCCAGAAGTATTGCGTGACAGTCTGGACTTTGAATCTACCTACTCAGCCTAAGTATGATAAGTATTACGATACGGCAATTAACGGGCTCGCTGAGGACAATCATCTCGTCCACGGGATGTTCTAATTGGGGCATGCGTATTGACTTAGTGTTCGAATCGACCGCCTCTCGGGTGATATAGCTCTCCACACTTCTCTAATATAGAAACTGCTTGTGATAAGGAAAGAAAGTTTCTGTTTTATCAAAACTAGTAAATCACACTTTTACTAAGATCAAAAGAAAAAATGTCATGCTCAGCTAAATAAATGGATTTAAAAGGTTTGTCTTGCTTTGTTGTTCGGTGACAACGCTAGCGTTGCCATGCGCGTTCTCGTCTTCCTTTGAAGCAATCCATTGATTTACGGGTTAACAGCTGATTGAAGAACATGGATTACCCCTAAATCATTCGCTGCTGTTATTAACTTTATTTTCTACCTCCATAAATAATAGCATTGTAGGAAAATAGGGAAATAGTTAGAACCTGCCATAATGCTGTGTACTCGATGTGCCTTTGTGGCGAGATGGTTATAGAAAAACATAAATCATAGTAATATCTATATATGGGACACTGATGGAAGAATTGAGCAATACTCAGAAGATATTTGAATGCATTATAATTAGATATATAATGTTTTGGCTATTTTTTTTTTATAAGAGACAAAGTTTTTTTCTTTTCAAGTACAGATTATGTAGATTAGCTATTTTGCATATAGCCGCCTGACAAGTTGCATGGCATATAATTGCAGGATTTAGTTAATTTGGAAATGGAGGAAAATTGAATCCAATTATATTCTAAAGGAAATCCCCTTTTAATTGACAAGTCAATATTTTAGAAATATGCACGATGTAGACCATCTGCGTAAAGATACAAAGAGGGTTTTGATTTAATTTCATCAAAGCGATCTCTTCCTTTCGTGAATATAATTGCAATTAGCAGTTTTTCTGAGTAATCGACTATTTTAAAAACTTGCTTAAAATAGATAAATTCTTAAATAGTTTAAAATTGACAGGTTTTAAGACAAATTAAGATAAGTATCTTAATATATGTTTTGAGGATGATAACTGTTATAATCATTCAATCGTGGTAAATCATTTTTTCCTTTTTATAGATTCGGAAAATTAATGCATCGTCGTATTTATTAGAAAAGTTTAGAAAGATTCTATTCATTTTAAAAATATCTTTTTCAACGAATCATTCTTCCAAATATTCATGTAAATATATTTAACTTAGTTTATTGAGTTGTTGATTTATTCTGACGGAATCTATGAAGAGGTAAATGAAGCAGGATGGGTGGGGGTACACGAGTTCAGTAGATTTTTGCCAAGTCTTACTCAGCCCACACTTGATCTGGAAAATATGTCGGGACAGTAAGTACCCAGACAAGATCTCCCAACACAATGGAAAAAATCTGGATCCACTTAATGCCGACTTCCGATTTGTTGAAGGAGAGATAAAGATGGCCGGGGAATGCACCGGGCGCATTACAATCCGACCTAATCAGTCTAAAGTATTCTGATATACGACTGATGCTGAAAATTAATCCGCTTGACTCACAAAGGCATCGAAATAATGCATAGTTAGGGCAAGGGTAATACCCACCGAAATCGAGGCACACACTATAATTTGATTAAAGACTTTAAATTGTATTCGGAAATATGAGACGAACAGTTCATTTGTGGCGGCCACATCTTTAACACATTTAATGCCAAGTGATTAAAATTTTCTCGAATTTGGGGATATATTTTGAGCTATGTTGATTGATCGCGGAGCCTTTTTGTGTAAATGAGCCGCGTTTTCCGGATTTTTATTACATTTCTTTTTTTCGTTTACACTTTTGGCGATAGTTATCTTGATCTAATTATATAGCAGTGAAATGGAATCCCCGACCCCATCGTCATGAGCCCCAACCCACAAGGTCATGATGACGTCGACTGTCTTCAAATTAATCTTACTTAGGTCTGTCCTCAAATGGCATTGCTGTTCTAAGTATCATTGTCAATATTCTGCAAAGGTCAGGCCCCGCGATCATGAAATATCTTAAGTTTAAGTCATAATATTCATGATGCTCTAAAATTTTGACAAAAATTAAAGTATATGTCAATATTGCTTCCCAAAATGTTGCTATCAGCAAATTTAGATAATCATTCAATAATTAATAAAGCATTTTACAGGCAATGAAAAAATTTGACTTAAGTCAAAAGTCTGCTTCATGATCATGGGGCAGAAGTCTTTTGACGTAATCATGTAATGCAACGTCAAGACTCAATTACTAGAACGTGAAATTTTTCTATACACTACATAATGAAGTTGCGATACACTGTGCTTTATTAGGCCTGTTGTCAAAATAGTAAATTTATCTTTAAACAAATGTTTTGTTCTATTAATTCTCAAAAAATGATTTAAGAAAGTCAAGTATTTGCTAATTTATTCGTGACAAATTAAACTTTTCATGGCCTTATTTTTCGGAGAATCTTTAAATTAGCACTCTCAGCTTCTTAGGAATTGTCACATACTCTGCACTTTGAAATAATTTGCCTCTCTTATACGAGATATTTTAATTTGTTGGCATATGACAGGTATTCTTCCATTCAACATTGTTTTAATAAAAGCCTCTTTAAATTAAAAAAAATATATGTACATGTAAGGTGCAATATTTCATAATTTTTGTTTGTTTGCAAGAATATTTCATTTAATTACGTATTTTATTGAAACTTCAGAAAAATTGTTTTTCAGTCCGATTTTCTGAAAAATATTAGATGCAAAAACTACACCAAATTTGTAAGCCATCATTATATCAGGACTTCATTTACATTATAAGCTTTTCTCAGAAGGGTGTTTTTACATGTAAACTTGGAGGATATATTACACAAAGTATTTTTCTCAAGTCCTAACAGTACCAGAATATATTACGAACTATTTCAAAAGAATATATAAATCAAAGACAGAAGATCACAAATTTAAAATGGATCTTCCGTTCAAGTTATAGGTTGCTGATATATTTATGTACAGATCTGAAAAGAATATTAAGTAGCTTTTAGTGCATCTTCATATCAATATCGTTTAATTTTTCAATTTCAATCATTAGTTTTAAGTACAAATGTTTAATTTAAAATTTTAAAAATATTCTAGATGGATGACCATTGTTTTAAATGGTTTACTTAAAACTTTCAAACCCAATGTGTATTCCAAAATAAACACTTTATCTCTTGTCTGATTCTGGCAATAACATATTCAGACGATATGTACACAACAAAAGTAATGTGGTTAACTTATCGTCATAAATCGAAATTACTCAAATTGAACGTCAGTGGTGTACATACTTATTAGACAAACGTTCTCCAGTGAGTCGATGAACAAATCGGAGCATTTAGAGGCTTTTACAGGCCCGGATCAGGTGATGTATTGGGGAACATTTTGCCTATCTTTATTCCACATCAGTAGAAATATTTACGAGTACTTCTGGTGTTTAATTGGCAGTTAGTCTCTTAACATAACTGCGTGAAAGAATAGTGGATATTTATACGGCTACTCAAGGAAATGAGATCGCACCTTTCTGGGTGAATTTTCACGCCCTTGTGTTCAAATATAAAATGCAATATCCCACCATCAGCCATTTACTTTCAATAAAAAAGATTTTATCTCAGTGTCGAGATCCGAGTATTTATTAGACTTCCCTTATCGCCGTATATCTAACGCTTATTTAATTCTTTGAAGACTGTGAAATCTTAATTTGGTTTCCCAGGTACATAATAGAAAACCTGATTTGTTCGCCATTAAATCCAATCTTTTCATAAATATCAGTCACAGACTTGTATTATGAGTCTAAATGATAATCAACACCGGGTAGGGTACCTTAAAAAAAGGGCCCGGATATGGCATGTTACGGAAATATGATGAACAGGATTGCACCCACGTGAACCGAGACCTCCTCCCACCACAAGAATTATCTGGCATATATATGCAGTGTATGTGACATGCATCAGGTCGATCATTTGAAAAATTCATACGGTCTAACGAGATGTTCCAGTACGTAATTTGTTTGGTGTCTTTCCAGACTCAGGAGTATTTTGACCCAGTTTCCTCTCAATTGTTTTAGTAAATTTTATTTTAGGACTCATTTTGGTATTAGAGTTTACTGATATAAATATGGTTTAAATATATCAACATCAGAGATAACAGTGAATAAAAACATTTCAAGGAAATAAAATTTTGCTTCATATGCCAAACTGTTTATCCTTTGATTTTCCGTGATGACATTCTTGTACTTTATCCTCTAGAGTTTTATAGCTTCTTTGTTTTGTTAGTCTCTATCGCCGTTGGCGGTTTCAACTAGATTACATCTGATACTTTGCATATAGATTTTTCAATTATCATATCACACTATAATGTGAAAATGATTGATCGGGCTTACAGTTTACGCCTTGTCGGGTTCGATATACAGGCCTAGATTTATTTCCCCTCGTTGGAGGTATTGGGAATTAAATGACCTAATATTGCAATCTTCATATCTCAAACGTCAGTCCAATGTTAAGATGTATATAACAGATATCAAACAAAGAGGGAGTTTAAAATAATTCAAAATACATAATTTTTGAACTGTTTGTGTAAATTTTTAAGATCTACGTATATTCTAGCCCACGTTCAATCATTTGCAAAGTGTTTATTCAAAGAAATAAAACACAGTTATTGAAAACAATCAGTCAAGGAATTCCAAATAATTTTTTGAACTTTTTGTGTAATTTTTAAAGATCAACATATATTCAAGCTCACGTTCAATCATTTGCAAAGTGTTTATTCAAAGAAATAAAACACAGTTATTGTAAACAATCATTCAAGGAATTCCAAATTTTGAAGAAACAACATGTTTTCAATAAACATTTCTTTTCCTCCTGTAGCCTGAAAAAAGCTTTGCTGCGTTTGCAAAGACATAAAAGACATAACATTTCACAGGAAATCGGTTACTCCCCATCACTCCCAGTTTATATCTTTTATCTGGAATACGGAACCTATGTTTATTTCTACGACTCTGTGAAATATGCGCAATATATGTTTCCATTTGTTATATCATACATGCATCCTTTTACATTTCCGTCCTAGATTAGATAAGTCTGCAAGTAAATTTTCTTTGATGCCGAATTTATATCATTGTTATCTGAAAGGGACTGCTTTTGTTTACCATGTTTTTTTTTTCTTTTTAATGAGCCATATTTATACCGCCAAAATCTTGAAATGTAAACCCCTCTAGCTGGAGGGTTGGAGGAGATTTGCAGGCTAAACTAAA